AGACAATGGCGATGGAAAGGGAAGCGATGACACGATGTGTTCCCAACCCTCTTGTGTTGTCGGGCCCTCGCGTTCTTTCCGCAGCGCCGCGCGTCTCTTGCTTCCCGTTCTCTGCTGCTCATCCTTTTCCTCGTTAATTTTCCCCCACCCGGCAGAGAATTCCCTCTACGGCCTGAGGTGGGCCAAACCGCTTGCGCCACCGCCACACGGTGGCGTGCCCCACTGGGAGCACCACCTACGGCGTCAGTGGGCCCGACCCGCCTCAGATCAGCGCTCCCCTCACTCGTCTCGTGCCCACCAGGGAGCTCCACCTACGGCCTCACTGGGCCAGACCGCATGCGCTACCGCCACCGAGTCTGGCACAACCCTCACACGGGCTGTGCCCCACAAAAGGCTCTACTCACCGCGTCATTGTAGGCCTGGCCGCATGCGTTACAGCCACCCTATTCGGCACACCTCTCACAGGTCTCGTGCCCCACAGGGAACTCCACCGACTTGGCCGCCACAAAGTGTTCCTTGGAAGCGCCAAGACGCCCAGACGAGTCGAAACGATGCCAAGGCGACTCCACGACCCCTGTGCGATTCCAGGGTGCCGCGATAAGCCGCACGTGATCTCGACGTGGCCTCCAGTTGGCCGCAACGCACCTGCACGATGGCTTCATCTGCAAGCAACACTTGACCCCGATATGTTCCAGCGACCGCGTGATGGCCCCCAACCAGCCCCGAAAGGCAGCACCAACAACACCCTCCATGACCCGTGTGGCACGGAGGTCCTCCAAAGACGACCCCAAGACAGCGACATGGTACAATAAGAAGGCAGCACTCCCGCCCTGGATGACTGGCAATCTGTGGGGAGACCAAGAAGTACCGATACCGCTACTCGTCGGACCTCTCCCGGGGTGCGTTCTGACCAGGACTTCGAGGCGAGTCCAGCAGTGGCAACGAGGGCCTCCGAGGAGGCCGAAACACGGGAAAAGGATGGAAGGGTAGAGGTATGGGTACCTTTTCCTCCTCTGAATTTGTCTGACCATGGGTTTGACTGTGATGCGTTGGTGGAGCGGGATCCCGCCCACACCACGCCGGCCGAGCGTCCTGCCGGGCTTCTCAGTAAGGTTTGAGTATTGGTTCTGGTAGAGGTTGGCGTTATTCGATAGTTCGAATAATGCCAGAACCAGACTCCGACCAGAACTAGTCACAGTTACGATGCGCAGTATTCAATGATTGTACAATAGTGCGACTCGAACCGTACCTGGACCAGTCCCAATCATGGTTGCGGCACAGTAATGTTCATATACATAAATACTAGTGCCCCGCAACCACGACTGTGACCATAACCAGTCTTGGTTCTGGTCCTGGTCCAACCACACGATTCGAATATATTCAGAACGACGCGTCCAAACCAGAACCATGACCAAAACCAATCCTGATCACAATTGTGGTTCGGGTTGCATGAATATTATTATAAGACTGTTAATGCCAATCCACCCGAACCAAAACCATGACCAAAACCAGTCCTGGTCACAGTTGCGGTTCGGGTTGCATTTATATGATTATAACTTTACAAATGCCCATCAACGCAAACCAGAACCGTGACCAGGAACAGTCCTGGTTACTAATGCCAATCCACCCGAACAAGAACCGTGACCAAGACCAGTCCTTGTCACAGTTGCGGTTCCGGTTGCACTACTGTTAAAATGATATCACTCATGCCCATCCACCCGAACCAGAACCGTTACCAGGACCAGTCCTGGTCACAATTGCAGTTCGGGTTGCACTAATGTTGTTATAATATCACTAATGCCCATCCACCCGAACCAGAACCGTTACCAGGACCAGTCCTGGTCACAATTGCAGTTCGGGTTGCGTTAATACCATTATTCTATTTTTAATGCTAATGCACCCGAATCAGAACCGTGACCAGGAACTGTCCTGGTCACAATTGTGGCTCAGAGCATTAACATTATGATAATATTACTAATTCCAATCCACCTGAACCAGAACCGTGACTAGGACCAGTTCTGGTCACAGTTGCGGTTCGGGTTGCATGAATATTATTATAATACTACGGATGCCAATCAACCCGAACCAGAACCGTGACAAGGACCAGTCCTGGTCAGAGTTGCGGTTCGACTTGCATCCATATTAATATAATATGATGAATGCCAATCCGCCCGAACCAGAACCATGACCAAAACAAATCCTGATCACAATTGCGGTTCTGGTTGCATAAGTATTATTTTTTATATCACTGATGCCAATCCACCCGAACCAGAACCGTGACCAGGACCAGTCCTGGTCAGAGTTGCGGTTCGGATTGCAGTAAGATAATTATAATATCATTAATGCCAATACGCCCGAAACAGACACGTGACAATGACCAATCCTAATCATAAATGCGGTTCGGTTTGCATTTATATTGTTATAACATTACTAATGCCAATCCTCTCGAACCAGAACCGTGACCAGGACCAGTCCTGGTCACAGTTGCGTTTCGGGTTGCACTAACACTGACATAATGTTACTAAGCCAATCCACCCGAACCAGAACTGTGACCAGGACCAGGTTCGGGCTGCACAAATATTATGACCCGGACCACTCCTGGTCACAGTTGTGGTTCGGGCTGCAATAATATTACTATCGGAGGTGAGGGGGTGAGATCGACGTGGAACGGAGAGCCCCCCTACCGGGAAATCGGTTCCGGTTTCGTGTTCGTGCGTGCCGTGCGTGCGGGCGAGGCGACGCTGCGTGGGCGGGCGAGAGGAACGTCTCCTGAGGCGCGGCCGGACCAAATGATTCCCTTGCGGCAACTGGTGCCGCGCGGTGTCCCGCCAGTGTCCCGCTGTGGCTCAGGCGCGGCCGGACCAAATCATTCCTTTCCGGCGTCCGGTGCCGCGCGGTGTCCCGCCGGAGTCCCGCCGGTGTCTCGTCGGTGTCCCGATGATAATGATGATGATGATGATGATGATGATGATGATGATGGTGATGATGATGTCGATGAAGTTGATGATGATGGTGAGTGTGGTGGTGATGATGGTGTCCCGATTTCGATGATGTTGACGATGCTGATGATGATGATGATGATGATGGTGTCCCGTTGTTGGTGATGTTGATGATGATGATGATGATGATGATGATGATGATGATGATGATGGTGTCCCGATGAAGATGGTGATGATGATGTTGATGATCATGATGATGTTGATGATGATATGATGATGAAATTGATGATGATGGTGGCCCGATGATGATGATAAGGTTGATGATGATGATGATGCTGTTGATGATGATGGTGATGATGATGGTGTCCCGAAGATGATGTTGATAACGATGACGGTGTCCCGATGACGATGATGTTGATCATGAGGATGATGGGTGATGATGATGACGTTGATGATTGTGGCCCGATGATGGTGCTGATGATGATGCTGATGTTGATGATGATGGTGTCCCGATGATGATGGTGCTGATGGTGATGCTGATAGTGACGATGATGATGGTGCCCCGATGATGATGATGCTGATGATGATGGTGTTGCTGATGATGGTGGTGTCCCGATGATGGTGATGATGATCTTGTTCATGATGATGATGGACTGATGATGATGGTGGTGCCCCGATGATGATGACGGTGTCCCGATGATGATGATGATGTTGATGATGACGATGATGGTGACGATGATGGTGTCCCAATGATGCTGATGAAGGTGATGATGATGATGCTGATGAGGTGATGATGATGATGGTGTCCCGATGATGATGCTGTTGATGACGTTGATGACGATGATGTTGATGATGATGACTTTGGTTGTGAGGTTGATTGTGATGTCGATAGTGAGATCGATAGCGAGACCGAATGTGAGATCGATTGTGAGATCGATAGTGAGATCGATAGTGAGACCGATTGTGAGATCGATAGTCAGATCGATTGTGATATCGATCGCATGAAGTAGAACGAGTGAGATCGACTGTGAGATCGATCGAGTGAGATCCATCGAGCGAGACCGATAGTGAGATCGATCGTGAGATCGATAGTGAGTCCGATCGAGTGAGACGTTGGTTCCTCCCCCCCCCCACCCTCCTTATCACCGGAAGGGTGGTCGTATAGGTACTGTTAATGCCCATCGACCCAAACCAGAGCCGTGACCAGGACCAGTCCTGGTCACAGCTGTGGATCGAAATGCATGTATCTTCTGCTAATATCACTAATGCCGATCCACCCGAACCAGAAACGTGACCAGATCTGGTCACAGCTGCGGTTCGGGTTGCGCTAGTATTATTATATTCTTATTAATGCCAATCCACCCAAACCAGAACTGTGACCAGGACCAGTCCTGGTCACAATTGTGGTTCGGGTTTATCTAATACTAATAGAATATTACGAATGCCAATCCACCCGACCCGGAACCGTGACCAGGACCAGTTCTGGTCACAGTTGCGGTTCGGGTTGCATTAATATATCACAATCTTACCAATGCCAATCCACCCGAACCAGAACCGTGACCAGGACCTGTCCTGGAGGAGAGGAGGGAGGAGGGAGGAGGGAGAGGGAGGAGGAGCAGGAAGGTAAAAGCGTCAACGTTCGAGGAAGTCCTAGGCGAAAGCGCCGTTCCTGAAGGAGGTCTCGGGCGGGAGCCCACGACGGGCGGGCGATCCCCTGACGGGCGAGTCGGGCGGGTGGGACATTCAAGCGGGATGTCTGAGTATAACCAGAGCGCGATTACCAAGTAAATTGTGACGGCGTCCTTGGCGCAGCGTGTTTCCTGAGCGTCGAAAGCGCGATGTCTGAAAAAAAGCATGGAGGTCACAGGCGAGAGCGCAACTCCTGAATAAAATGTGGGGGGTTCTCTGGCGGGAGCGGGGGTCTGGATTAAATTGCACAAAATCTTAACTCAATTGCGAGGAAGTCTCAAGCGGGAGCGCCGTTCCTGAGTAAATTGTGAGGAAGCCTCAGATGGGAGCGGGGGTCCTGACTAAATTGCGAGGAAGTCACAGGCGGGAGCA